TTATTGTTGAACATGACTCATTACTCCCCCTCTCGGTGTCCCCACCCTGAGTTCTCTGAAATGACATTTCCATCAGTCCCTCCATGACTCCTCCTAGCAGTTAAATAGACAGAGTTGGTCAATTGCATAACATCAGACTGGTGGCAAATGGCTGAGCCAGGATTTGAAATCAGGAATTCTGTCTGTAGTCTCAGTGAACTGTTATATTTTATTGCCTTCCTAAATAGCTACACGCCATCTTTTTGATAACTGCTTTGGAAGGAGTGAGAGAAAAAAATGTGATTTTTGTATTATATAATCTACATTGGAGAATATTATAAGAAATGGCTATGTCCAGTCAAGATTGTACCTGATGACTGTAAGCTACTGAGCAAGTGGTCCCCTCATTTATACAGGGCCTCCTTTGGGAGAACTAGGAGGGAACTGTCTCTGAAGTCATTATGTCATTATTAGTGACAGCAGTGCTGTTCCTCAACAATGACTATTTATCTTAAGGTCATCATGAAGCTTGAAGCCATGGAAGGGGTCATACATCCTTCTTTGGTGGGGTTGATGTAGGAGAAAGACAATTCATGTGAGCAGTTACAGGTCAAATGTGTCAAGTTCGTGATCTCACAGCCTCAACAAATGAAGTGAGCCAAAGGAAGAAATGTCAAAGAGTTTCCTAGGAAAAAAAGAGAGAAGAACAGTTCCTGGATTTCCAGACAGGGTCCAGAATGGGTGGCCACAGAGGCCCTTTTCAGGGGTAATTTATACAGCAAAGTCACAATGTGGGTGATATGTGAGTTAAATTATAATCACCCTATAAGATTACAAGTATAACTGCTTAGCTAACATTGATGCAGTAGGAAAATGAGTCAAGCAGCAAGGGTACATGGAAAAACAAAGGCATTTTGGGAAGGGATGTTCTAGTCACCCTCCTGGGTGACTGATGCCTATCTGAACCTACTGGACTAGGTGGTGCTAACTACAGTGTAAATCCAAGTTACTGTTTATTCCTTAGGGAGATATGTAGGCCTGGACACTGAATTCTCATGTTGAGGGCTGATCTTCAGATGTGTTTCCAGCCACAATTTAATGTCTGTCAGTCAGACAGTCAGTCAGTCAGTCTGTCTGTCTGTCTGTCTGTCTGTCTGTCTGTCTGTCTGTCTCCTGGATCGAGAGCCCTGTCCCTGATTGTATATTAATGTTTGTCTAATTCAGTCTATAACTGGGGAAGTAGGAAGCTTATTTTTGTCAATCACCCCACACAGTCAAGCATTGTATTTGATATATTAAATACCATCTTTTTTTGTTTGCCCCAGTATCCTCCCATTTTCATGCTTTATCTGATTGGATTGCATGTATAAGTTTACTGTGTCAAGTTTTTGAGAGGATATGGTGTAACAACACACACATACACACACACACACGTATCATCGTGAATATTTGAAAACTTAGTGTTTTCTAGAAATTGAAACAGATGTCCAGGTTGGTATGTTGGTACATTAGCAGCTACTTATTCTACCTTTTCAGTAAATAAATAGATATCTCCCCTTACAAAACTAGAAAACTTTTTAAGTAAAATTAAAATAAAAAACTAAAGTTAATTCCATATGCCAAAGTCTTAGTATTTCCACTGAGCATAACAAAGATAGTATATTCTAGGGCTAGAAAAATAAATGTTAAAAAGAAATTCAATCATCTTCCACCTCTCACCCTGACTGCTGGTATAGAAAAATCAGTTTTCTCCTTCAAAATGATTTTCTTAAATGTTTCCCTCTCCCCACCTTCCCTTCTGGAGGTTAGATTAAAAATCTTACAATAAAAAAGTCATCATGTAAAAGAACTAGTAGTAAACATGGACAGTACTGAAAATTCAGACAGGGAAAATAGGGAGGTTCTATAAAATGAGTATCATTTTTAGTGAAATTTGTAATTGTGGGAATGAGAAAGATAGAGAAAAATATTTTAAATTCAATGGTACAATCAGGGTAAGTAAAAGTATACTTTCAATATTATTGTATGTTAAAAAGAAAAGTATACAGTGAAAGACAAAACATTCAAAATGAAATGCAAAAACAATAACAACAACAACCAGTCTTGATTCTTCAGGAAACATAAAATAAAGTGGTGGAGATGGGACTGAACTTATCAATATTTAAAAGAAGTAAAATGGTTTTGTTCTGTAACTGAAGAAAAAGACTCAGATTGTGTTAAAGAAGAGCAGGGAGATAAAAATTAAATTACATAAAATGAATAAGATTAAAAGTATAGCTATATCAGGTAAATAAAAGCACAGGTGGCACTAGTATTGTCAAAGGGAAGTTCAAAGCAAAACAAATCAATAAAATAATGAACAAATGATGCTTTTATATTGAAAAAAGATGAAATCTATAATTATGATAACTGAGCATTTATGAACTGATTAACATAACATCAAAATTTAGGTGGCAAAAAGTGATTTGATATATACGAGAAAAAAGAAACAGAAACATCATTGCAGTGAGATACTAAAATACCAACATCATCTAATCCAGAACAAGTTGGTAAAAACAAGAGGATGTTGTCTTAGCTATTTTCTTATTGCTGGGACAAAATAGCTGATACCCACAAGGAGCAAAGGTTTATTTTAGCTCACAGTCCATAGCTGGCTGGCTCCAGGGCAGGGCAGCATGGCAGGGCGGCGTGGCAGGGGGCACCACAGAGGAGAGACAGTCCGTGGCAGGCAGGCACAGTGAGCCTGCCTGCCTGCTTTCCCTTTACAGTCCATCCAGGCTACAAGCCTATCCGGTGCTACCCACACCCATGGCGGGGCTCTTCTTCAAAAATCCCATTGCTCACAAAGCTAAACCAATCAGTGGAAAAATCCAGTTATCACACACCCGTAATCTAGGATCACACCCTCATGATCCAGCCACCTTCCAAAGCCCCACCTAGGATGGGGCCTTGAGAGGACATCTAGATTAAGCTATAACAATTATATCTAGATTAGTTTAAGTTACATAATTAGTGATACTCAGTAAATGTAGTAAGCTTTATACCATAGTCTTTTTTCAATTCTACTTGTTTTTAAAATTGAGCACATATTAATAAGGATAAAGAATATTAACAAAGTTTTACAACATAAACTATGTAAGCTACATTTTCATATGTTCATTATGATCCACTGAAACCATAATTTACAAGAAAAACTCAACTAAAAATATATAATCATAAGCTCTCTAGTATTGAATTTTCCATAAGGCAGCCACATGCTTACTTACATTTAAGATAATAATAGAAAATTACAATCTCACATTAGCCACAATCAAGTACTCAATAGCCTCCTGGAAGTAGCAGCCACCAGACTGGACAATGTCAGTATTTCTACACATTTCTATCCCTACAGAAAGCTTTTGAAAGTTGCTGCTTTTAGAAAATAGAATTCATGAACATACAACAAGCAAACATTATATAAGAAAGTAAAAGAGTTAAAAGCCTCTCTATTTAAAATAAATTAGACTGATAACAAATTGAGAAGATATTCATAACAAGTGGGGACAAATAGTAGTCAATAAAACTGGCTTTCAGAAACTTTAAGAGGAAACATTCACATCTTGAGATAAAAATGTAACAAGATGTGCATCAGTGGTTCATCCAAGGAGAAAACACTAATAAGTTAGATGAAAAATAGTAAACCCAATCATCAATGTAACCTATTTTCATTTATGAAGTTATTAATAGTATAAAATTTTTATATACTTTATGCTAATGAGGATGTGATGAGATGGTCACACAAAAACTGATTAAGGCAAAAAAAAAAGTAACAAAATTATTCTAGAAGGATCCCACTCAAACCTCTATATCCAATGGCTTTCAAAGCTGGATACACATTGGATCACTCTGGGGACTTTACTTACAAATTTACTTGTTTGGTACAGGGTCTCACTATGCAGCACTGACTCACATTGATCCTCCTGTTTTCAGCCTCCCCAGTGCTGGGCTTACAGGTGGGGGTGGGGCCAGCGCTGCCTGTGGTGCTGGAGATTGAACCCTGGTCCCTGCGCTTGCCTAAGCAGGCGCTTAGTCCACTGAGCTATCTCGCTGGTCCTCTGGGGAGTTTTAAAAAAATAAAATACCTCAGCCTCCATCCCAAAGCCTTTATTGAATTGGCTTGGATGAAGCCTGGGTGTTAAGGGTCTTTCAAGTGTTTGGCAAGTGTGATATGCAGAGCAGGTGGAGAAACACCACTCCAGAGGCACAACTTTAGCACCCGAGGTACACGTGCTGTCCCATTTGAGTGCAGTACTCTGAAAGTGGGGACCTTCATAGCCATCGCTGGCTTCCCATCTAGAACTAGCAGGCAGAAGGCTCACTGTGCTCTCAGTATGTTCGTGTGGTGGGAGCCAGTCATGCAAAAGTGACTGTGTGAGTGTCAAGGCAGAGTAGTTGGGTCTGACCGCTGCACAGGGACAGTTGGTTTATTATGTGCTTCCATACAGAGAACCAGCCTTAAGCCGTCCTTCATGAGCCCCCTGCTCTCTGCCCACCAACCCCAAGGGAAGAACTTCAACAAGTTCCTGTCTTGAGAAGAGGGCTTGGTGGAAGAAAGAAACCATTAGCAAATCATGTGACAAAGTTTGAGTTAGGGAGAATAGGATTATTAAAGGGGAGGGCTGATATCCTAAAAGGATAAGATAGTCTTTGAGAATTCTGATAATTACAGTCTTTTAAGAATAGGGGTACTGAGTAGGTTATCCTGTTACCACTAATCATGATGTATGAAGGGCTCAGAAAAGACACTATTTACCAATCCAAAGGGAAGTGTTTCACAATTTTAGCAGTCAGGATACCCTTACTGCACATATTAACAGAATGCCAGAATTGTCTATAAATACACAATGAATTTGTTCTATAAAACATGGGAAGTGAAATGACAAGCAGTGGATAATTGGAATCAGAAAAGGCTGAAATAAAAAAAATTATCTGATATTCTTTATTTTTTATATTACTAAAGCAAGTAAAAAACTCCCCAAAATTATATTAATTAATTCCCTTTGAGGGATGCAGTCAATATCATGTTGGTCACAAGTTAAATGGAGCTCTATAATCCTTTCATAATTAGAACAGAATAACTCAGTCCTCTAGAGTATACACTAATACCATAAATGGACACATTGAAATTTTAAGAACACAGTGCCAGTTGAATATATCTAATAATCAGTACACATACAGAACTGCAGAGATCTTGGGTGAGTTTGCCAGCTGATGTTTTAGAGCTGGAAGCAGCTGGAAAAATCATTTGTAGCTATGAGACAACTGGAATGACATTTTTAAAAAGCTAAGAATAACTCACTTTTTGAAAACAAGAAAAAATAATAAAAGATGAACCAGATAAGAGATACTATTCATGGAAGAGCAGTAGAAATTGACTGAAAATTAAGGCAAGTGGGACTATTTCTTGGTAGATGGTTAGTTGAGTGAGAAACAGCTGAGACCCAGGGCCAGTGAGACAAAGAACTAGACACTATCAGAGCACATTTTCCCCATTAGAAATCAGATGTCAAGCACTGGTCTGTTGTGACCATGAGGGATGGGAGGGAGGCTAGGCTTGGTGTTGGAACCTGGGCGGCTGATGACCATGACTGAGGGTTTTCTGTGTTGGACAGAGGCTTTTCCTTGTGAAGATGATTTTATACATAGTGCTGTAAAACATGAAAATAAAAGATACAGTGCATACAGTTAATGTGTTGGTACACTAAGCAGAGAAAATAAGCATTGCATAATATAAGCACCAGAATAAGTTTTAGAATTCATTCATGACACTCTGTAAGGAACAAATGACAAAGAAGGAAAATAGGAGACCATTGTCAATAGTAAGCAAGTGCTGTCCTGCCCCCTGTACCAATGCCCTATGCCACACTCTTTCATCACCCTATACTGCATCCAAGTGAATGTCCAATCACATTTGGAATGGAAGGAAATTCTTTGTTTTATTGCCAATGGCCCCACTGCCTCCCCACGCAGTGCAGCTGTGGGGGAAGTACACTGGGGAACCCAGTTCCCTTCTGTGAAGCAGAGGGAAGACAGTCTCTATTTCACAATGTTCTAAACTATGTTTGGGGAACCTGATGGGTCTCTGTGTCACCTAGTGCAGATTTCAGATGCTCAAAGGAGGCACCCTGGGAGCTCAGACTAAGGAAAGCTGTAGGGAGTCGTAGGAATGGCTCCTGAGAACTACATAGGGCTCCTAACTGAGGAATACAATAGAACCACTAATGCCCCAAGAAGCAGCAGATAGCCTTAGGAAAACTAAGATAGCTGAAGGCTGCTGTATAGGATAACAAGTTGGGAAGAAGCAAATATGCAGCCTATAGGAAAATAAATACTCAGACATGTCCTGAAAAGATGTTAAGACCTCATGCATGGGTGAAGAACACAACCTGTTGATTAGTGAGGTTCTTCCACTGCATGAGATACCCTGCAGCTTTCAAAAGAGGGCTGTGTTTTCAAATTCCTCATTTTCAATAGAAAATCACAAGTCATAAAAAAACAGGAAAAGAAAGTCCATTCAAGGAATGAATTAAATCGATAGATATTTCTAAGGCAAATTATTATAATTTTATACTACATGCATAAAATTTTATAGTCACAATAATTAGCATGCATCTAGCACTTTTTAACTTGCATCTTGGCTCATATCTTATCTGGTCCTATGTATGTTACATTATAACATATATACATTATACATTATACATTATATGTGTGATAATACTATATTGTGAATGATATTATTATTTCCAAGATTCAAATGTTAACCAGTTTGCTCAGCATTATGTAATCAGACTCACAGACATAGAATTGGCGTTGAAGATAACAGCCCCACCTTGCTCTGGTCAGACTGTTTAAAATGCAGTAACTCACCGTAAATGTTCCATTTCAGGAAGAATAGAGAAAAAAATGAGATGAAGATGGTCTGGAAACACTGTCCTATGGAAATCTGGTCATTATAAGCCTTGATGCCATGTTATACCAGGCCCCCTGTGTCCTTCTAACCTTCCTGGAGTAGCAAATCAATGCTTTTAAAAGTTTCTTAGAATAGTTCTCCCTTCCTGTGAAATGACATACAGGTCATTGGTAATTTGAAACTACTTCTTTGAGATTTGGTCTTGGAAAATTCCAATCCTTACTGATGTACTTTATAAGTAACATTTTTGAAAAATATCTTATTTTGTTCAAATATTCTGAATTCAAATACACTGAAGAGGGAGTCTACTCTGGAATTGGTTAGAAGATGCTTCTGCTTCATTTTGGTAACGTTATCTACTGGATCGTGTCCCAGACAACATAAGAAGTTTTTTCTCTCTGTCTTCAGATCACTTGACCAGGCAATGGATTTGGCTAAGCATCCTCTCCAGATGCAGGCAGAATCTCCCCAAAGGCTACAAATGATTACCCCATTAGCCTCCAACTCACTCATTTTGTACCTATTACTCACAGAGTGCCACTCTCCACCTTTACACTACAGTTATTTTCTCCATTTTGATTTTTACCTCCAGCCCTCAGTTTCCCCACAACGCTCAAGGCCTTTACTCCATGTTATTTATGAACATTGCCACTGAGCCCAGAGAGAAACATGCAGTGGCCATTCTGCTTCTTCTTGGACATGCACTTTCACATGTGTGTTAGTGAGTGAGAGGCAAAAACACAGCATGGAGGGGAGGAGTCAGTTCTAAAGCCTTCAGAATTCTACCAAATTCTCACAGTAGGAAACTGAATAGCGATTTGAAACCTTTCATGCTTCTCTCCTCATCACCTTCACTGGATGGAGCCTGAGGCACCACAGACTCCCCTGGTGCACACTCCCCTTCCCCTTTGCCTAGACCTCTGCACTTGTGGCCAGGGACTTCCACCTCAAGCGCCAATGAACCACAGGCATATGACCAACCTTCTAAAACTTTGGTTCTCATTGATAACAACAGGAGCACCCTACTTCAGAGAGAAAGATGCTGCTTAAAGCATTCACTTAATTTAAAACAAGAAACATAAATGTTATATAGTTATGTGTATTAACTATATATAACCATATGTAGAACTATATGTAGAACAACACCCACCTTTTAGGGCCTTATCTGCCTCACTGTCACTCACTGGGGATCCTGGGTGGGTATAAATACCATCCTCTGGAAGCTGCGAAGGCAACTCTTTTGACCAGAGAGAAGGAGGAAATAATACAGAATGTTTCATGGAAGCCTGAGAATCCTTGCCACTGAAAGATAAAAAATGCTTTTGAGATGTAAACTAAAAGCAATCACACACGCTATGCCCATGGCTTCCTCAGGTCCCCTTGATCAAGTCAAGTCAGTAGTCTACAAATGCATCTCCGCTGAGCTAGTTTTAAATGGTATGTGTGGCAAGTGCTACAGAGCAGTTGACCACCTGACATAGCTTCAACTGTACTAAGTACTGTACACATTAGCATAAACTTCTCATTCATTTTATCAAACATAACTGAGTACCTGCTAAAGAGCAAGACATTGTAATAAGTGCTAAAGTATAAAACAAGACTAATATGGTATAAATCCTGACCTTTAGGATGGCACTATTAGAATCAAATGCATTATATATGGCAGACTCTGTTATCTTAAGGATAAAAAAAATGTTGGTGGCCCAATCTGGTCCCACATTGGGCATATCCAATGTTCATATTTTGAAATCATGACTTTGTTGTTGTTTTTAGGATGAAGTCAGGGTAAGATCTGGTGCCCATGATTCCTGTTCCTTAGTGCTCTTTCTATTGCCCAGCTCTTCTTTGGGATTCGTGTTTTCTGGCTTTCTTCCAGGAATATATATCCACTAGGGAAGCCCATTTGTAAAGCCTTGGAAAGCTGATGAAGATTGCTTACAATCTGTTATGGTTTGTCTAGATGCCCCCCGACAATGTCGTGCAGTCATAGGTGGAGGTTTTTCAGAGGTAGCTGGAGCTAGAGTATGTGATGCTGGGATTGATTCATGGAGCAATGCTAGGCTCAAGGGCACTAAGAGTAAGGGTGTGAGTGCTAGCTGCTCTACGTAGCCTGGAGAAGATATAAGGGATAGCTTGTGTCACTTGTTGCTTTGCTACCTTCTCCTACCATAACTTATTTCTCCTGTTTGATGCCTGTGTGCCATGCCACCCTGTCTTGGAAAGAGTCTATTCTAAACTGAAACTTCCACAAACTGTGAGGCAAATAAACTTTTCCTCCTTAAAATTTGGGTGTTGGATATTTTATCTCAGCAACAAGTCCTTGTGTCTCACAGTTTTGGATTCTTTAATCCAGCAATTGTGGTGCATCCCACTAAATTTGCTGGTATTAAAAACTGACTGATTCCATAAAAATGGTTTGTTCTTAAACTATTACTGTTTGGAGAACTCAAGGGCTGAAGTCTTAGAGAAACAAAGGAGTGAAACTTTCATAGCAGATATTTAGGTATGATCAGGATGCTGCAGTGATCTACTTAGTGAAGTTTCTTCTCTAAATGTTGATGAGACACACTGGTTCAGACACACTGATTCAAAGGGGGACAATTTTGATCCTGCCTAACTAAAAGGTAGATCCTTTGCTGCCCTTAATGTATACACTCTCATCCCACATTGAGACTCCAAAGTTTGTTTAAACTCTTGCTTCTTTACTGTCCCTTATTCAGTCAAGTCATAATGCCAGCACTGAGTATGCTCAGGGGACCCAGTGATGAATGGAAGATCTTGACCTACCCTTCTCCACTCTTGGACTTGCATATTTCTTTTTCTTTCTTTTTTGCGGAACCGAGGATTGAACTCAGACCCTTGCACTTGCCAGGGAAGCGCTTATTCTACTGAGCCATCTCCTCGGCCCCGGACTTGCATAGTTCATGGACACTATACATGATATGAAGAGGAATACAGGCTACTGCAAGATCAAGTGATTCCGGGACAGATCTTGAAGTAGTGACATCTGAAGGCTGAATTAGCAAGAAGGAGATGTGTGTTGGAGGTAGAGGTTGGAACAGGAGGGAAGGAAACTTCCATGCAGAAGGAGCTCTGTATCTGAAGCGCTGGGTGGGAACTAGGTTTCATTTCTGCAAGTCATTGGTTCTGGGATGCTTCTTGGACAAAGTAAACTTCAGGAGGGATGGAAAAAAAGCAGGCTAGGACACCTCACAAGATGAAGACAAGGAGTACATACTTCAAAAAGAATCTTTAGGGGTGTGTCTCGGTTACGTTTCTCATGTTGTTGGGAAAAAATACCTGATACCCAGAATTAAGGAAGGAAAAGTTTATTTAGCTCAGTTTGTGGGACTTCCAGTCTATACTTTGCTGGTTCCAAGGTAGAGTGGCACATGACAGAGGGCAGCAGTTCATAGTGGTGGAAAACAGCAAAACAGCAAGAGCAAAAGGGAGGCGCAGTGGCAGAGTAAGCCTCTCTCCCTTATATCACAGTTAGGCTATCTGCTCCAGGGCGGGTGTAGCACTCACATCCATAATCCCAGCAGCCCGGACACTCATAGTTCCAGCATTAGGTCATGAATTAATCACAAACTCTAGAAGTCCGCCCCATGACACAAGACTTTAGGGGGATACTGAGACACAAACCATAACAAGGTGGGGTAGAATAATTCAACTAATGAAAGGACAAGGGAGGGAAGCATGAGGCTCTATGACCTTTGGAGAGAAGGTGCTGTGGCCAAAGTGATGTGCATCTCTTCTGAGATGAGCCAAAGAGATACTGTTCTAACCCACCATATTGGGTCTCTCAGGTTTATGGCTCCAAAACAAAATGGTGGCTGACTTAAGCATTTTATCAACTGTGGCCTGCTTATCACCAGTTCTAACACTAACAGGTGTCCTTGGTTGCTGAGAAGACCTCAGCAAGAGATCATACTGAAGTCATCCAAAGAGCTTCCTCCCCAACAAGGACAGGTCTCCAGTTGACACAAAGCATCAAAAGAGCAGGTGTAGCTGGCACAGTAGTACACAATTGTAATCACGGCTACTTCAGTAGCTGAGGCGGGAGGATCACAAGTTCAAGTCCAGACTGGACAACATAGCAAGATCTTGTATCAATCTTCAAAGAGCTGGCATGTAGCCAAGTAGTAGTAGTGCACTTATCTGGCATGGGTTCAATCCCCATAACCCCCCCCCCAAAAAAAAGAAGGTGTTTATGCAGACAAAAACCTTACACATTCAGACAGAGTTGAAATGTGAAAGTGGGGCCTCCACATTTTTAGAAGTCTAATGGGAAGGCCAGCCAGATAGCTCAGTGAATTAAAGCACCTGCTTAAGCAGATGCAGGGGCCAGGGTTCCATCTCCAGCAGGGCTATGTCCACACCACCCCTGGGGCACGCTAAAAGGGTGATTGTGACTGGACATGGTAGAGCACACCTGTAATCCCAGCACTTGGGGAAGCTAAAAACAGAAGGATCACTACAAGTATAATCTATGTAGTGAGACCCTGTAGACCCTGTACTAAAAAAAAAAAAAGTCTAATGGGATTCCTTTGCAATCCAACAGGGAGTGTGACTCCTCTATTGGCATTGTTGAAAAGTCATGGGAGGATTTCCCTAATAGGAGCTGGTTTGGATAGAAAACAGAAAAGGCAGACAAAAGGCTCTGATAACAGATCATGAAAATCAGACAAACTAAGGTATTCTTCCTTTATCACAGACTCTTCTACGTTTGGGGTGTTTCTCTCCAGTGTGCCTATTTCTTCAGTTAAGTTGTGAGCTTTGCAGACAGGAGAGTCCAGTGACTCAGCACAAGCGCCCAGAGCCTCTAGGCTTTGTTTCAAACCTTAGCTATGAGACTGGTCAGCTATGTGTCCTTGGACAAGTTCTTTAACTCTCATTTATGAGTATCTCTTTTGTGGTTACATTATTTAACCACTTACCAGGCAGCACATTTGTTTATGCACTGACCATCCTGGAGAATTGCTCAGGCAGGTATCACTTCAACTAGTTAATTCTTTTATTGAATAAATTCAATAAAGTTGTTGGGGTTTTGTTACATTATCTTATAAAAATTAACAAAAAATATGCAATTTTGTCATCCTCTATTTAAATAACTGGGCTGGTAAGTGATTAAAAGGGGACTGTGACAGTATTTACCCTCATTGAATTATTATTATAAACCAATTTGTGTCCAGTTTACCCAGAATTAAAGGAGGACTTAGTTGTCTGTATCTTAGTGTGAGCATTACCAGACTTTCCTTCTTTTCCAGGGTGACATCAGTGACCCTGCGGAAGTGTGTGAATGGGGAGGAGTCCTGGGAGGAGGCAGGACTCTACCACAGCATGGTCCTCTGCCCATCTAGTCCCTGTGGGTCGGGCTGAGGTGGAGCAGTGGTCCTAAGAAAGCAGGTGCTTGGCTGCTCAGTGCTGGAGGGAAAAGCCAGACCAGAGCGCTGTCTACTGCACCTTAAAAATAGTGACCACTGGTCAGAGTTGCAAAGAATTCTGCATTCGGTCCAGCATCATCTTAAAGCATTAAAAATGGTGGTTCACTTAAGAAGAAGAGAAAAAAATGGGAATTATAAAGATAGGAAGAACTATTCATTGTTTTCAAAGCCAAGGAAATGTACCACCAAGTCAAGGTTATGACTCATAAAGTGGCACTCTAGGCTTGTGTGAGTGAGTGCAGTGAGGTGCTGGAGGACATCAGAATACAAGGGACAGACCCCCTCAACATGGGATGGAAGCCCTGGAATAGTGCTTTGAGGGCTATAAATAGGGGTTCCTGGGTCCCCTTAGAGTCTAGTCAAAGGCACAACTAATTTTTCTGGTTACTTTTCAACCTCAGCCATCTGAGAAGGTAACCCAAATTAGACAGGGTTTTTGGTAGACAAGCATCTTTTAATAATGGCAACCTTAGAGCAAAGGGTAGGCATGTTTAAGAACACCAAACTCATACCATTAGTATTTGCTTTAAAGAATCTGTGCAATTTGTATTTTAAGCCTTTGACATATGGAACAGAATTTATTAAAGATACAGGTTTGCTTTATGATGACAACTAAAAACTGTTGGATAGTCATGCTTAAATTTTTTGTTGAAATCTTGCTAAGCTTTTATGTAGTTTTTGAACCTTTACAATGATTTATGAATAGATAGATATACAGATAGATAGATAGATAGATAGATAGATAGATAGATAGATAGTGTGTGTGTGTGTGTGTGTGTGTGTGTGTGTGTGTGTGTGTGCCAGGAATTGAAATCAGGACTTCGTGCTTACCTAGTGGGAACTATGCCACTGAGCTATACCCATGGCCTACAAAGTTATTTTATTGGAGACGGAATTACTTAAGTACAACCTTGTTTGGTCAGATAAATGAAACACTTAAATCAAATATGTGAACCTTGTTAGGATGGCAATTATTATCTTTTGTCCATTCAGTTCTTAAGGATCTTTGTGGTTTTCCAATCAATGTATGTGAACTCTGCATACATTACATGTTAAACCTTTTGTCACATTTTATATCTTTGCTGTTTTCTTTTCCAGTCTGTTTTGGAACTAGATTAATTTAGAATGCTTAAAAAATTTTAGAATGCTTATGTATAGCATAATTCCTTACTTCTTCTGTATTATTATGTCTCCCAAAACATTTCATTAACATTTCAATCAACCTTCATACACAATTTGGGTAACACTTTAATATATAAAGAATTTGAATGCTTTTATATGGAATGGCCTTTTATATGTCAGCTATAAGTTGGCAAACATTTTGAAATACAGCAATGTACTAACCAGAGATACCTGTTAAAATTACAGATATCAACTCTGGGTAATTTTGAATATTAAAGAAGGAATTATTGGAAGACTATTGGATAGTATATAGAATTAACAGAACCTAGAGAATTTGTTGGCTAGGAACCAAGGTAGGTAAAGAATCAAGAGCACAGCTGAGTCACGATACAAGAAGAGATTGCTAAAACATCCCTGTTTAAAGAACCACAACAAATTCCTCTGGATTTTTGGTTCTTCTGCTACTGATGATGTAACTATCTCTAATTTCTCTGCCTTTCTGTGTCTGTCACTCCAGATTCAAAGTCCCAGATAGAAGTTTCCAGTTATATGAAACTATATACACATGTACTCTTTGCTCCACACTCCACAGTGGGAAGCAAGGCCTTGCTCTTCAGGTTCAGGATGTCTCTGATGCCTACAGGTAAGTACCATGACTTAAGTAATGAGCAGAAAATAAACCACTGCCGCCAACAAAGCTCCTTAACTCACCTCTCTTCAGCATACTGTGGAAAAGGAAGTCCAAAGTAATCTTGACAGGGAACAAAGCCTTGCTTTAGTTCACTGACCACAGGTGCTGGGACTGGGCCCCTGCAATGGGGAATGTTTAAAGTAAAAGGATTTCAAATAAATATCAAGCATAGACACATGTAATATTCAATACTGAGCACTGTGTCCCGTATAAATGGAAATATCACTAAAATCTACTTGGAATGATATAAAGCATCTACACAGAAACATTCATTTCAGAGCTTGTCTTAGGCACTCATGCCATTACATCATAATTTGAAGATTAAACAAATATATATTATTATAAATATTCCCTATCCATTGAACTGTTAATATAAGCAAATTATATTTCTTATGATTTGTATGTCTTCTATTATAAGCTCTATTCCATTTTTTATGCAAGGTTCACCAACATACCAATGTTATAAAAACTGAAAAAGATGCTTTTCAATTTTGTTTTTGTCTAATGTTTTGAAGTGGTACCCAAGTGAAATAGCATCCATCCCCAGAGCAGTTAATCCATCCCCAGTGGCACCAAGCAGCAGAATGCCATATTTACATCTACTCTGGGTGGATGTACCACACAGCTATTTTGCGTTAGGCTACCCAAAGACAGCCTACCAAACAGGAAAACATTAATCATACTTTTTAAAATAGGGGACTACACAAACTTAGACAAAATTTTAGTTTCATTTATATTGACTAGAACTTTCCAATAGGTAAAAAATCAAGATTGAAAAAAAAATAAATCACTTTTAAAATTCTGCTTCCTTGAGCTATTGCATTCTTAATTTTACTAAGAGGTTTTTAAGTTGTTGTCAATGTTCTTAGAAATTTCCTGAGAACAGGGATTTTATTTTTTAAATATTGTAAAAGAGCAAAGGGAATTCAGAACTCTGAAACCTGTAATATTAATGAGAAAATAATAGGCAAGCATTGCATAACCTTCCTAAAATCTGGTTATTCATTTTGAGTACAACTTAAAACCTAAATGTACCTCTTCATAAGTAAAAACAGAATAATAATTATTGTAGCCACTAATGTTACGAGGCTCCTATTATGTGACAGGTATCAAAGCATTTGACACCCAGGATCAAGAATTTATGGATTATTAACGATGCAATCTTCTGCACACTCATGGAGTTTAACATGTAGTATGGAAAGGACGCACTACACAAATGCCGCCCACAGATAATTACTGTTGTTTCGAGAGTCAAGCCAGACAAGTACAGGAACTCAACATGATATAATAAACCTTCAGCCATAAACAACTTGGTGAAGTGTATATTTATATTCAGAAAACCACTAGACATATCATTCCTTTCAGTCTGAAAAATATTTTTTAAAGCTATCAGTTTCTAATAGTGAAAAGGAGATTGCACCTTTTAAAACAGTCCAGAAATGACTAGGAAATACAACTTCTACAACTGGGTTTACCACTGAATAAGCCAACTTTCGTATATGTGACTTAGTTTATGTTGGTAAATTAGAATTCACTTAATTTTTTTAACAATAGAAAATCAGTCCACTATTGCTTCGGTAGCAAGAAGTGTGATAGATTGTTACCTTTGAAAAAGGAGTGTGTGATCAGAGGGTATCTTTCCCCTGAGGGCTTGCCGAGCAGTCTCATGCTGTCTGCACAGAGAATCTCTTTCCTAGGCAAAACACATGTTCAGAAAATTGTACTAATTTAAAAATAAGTCAGATGACTGAAGTAGCTATAGCACTTTTCTTCTTACTAGAGACTCACAAATATGGCAGGCATACAAAAACAATAATTGTCCAATAAAATCAACAATCTGTAAATAAAAACAAAATATTTTAAAAAAGCTAAATTTAGTGTATCATTTTGACATTCAAGTAATAATGAGACCATTTTCATTATCATTTTATATTTGTATATTTTTTTCTGCATATTTTGGGGAGGGTCTACAGGGGGTTCAGGGTCTCACTGCATAAATCAGACTTGTAGTGATCCTCCTGTTTACAGGCTCCCAAGTACTGGGATTACAGGTGGGCATCACTACACTCAGTCTCAATCGCCATCTCAGTGCGCCCCAGGGGCGGGGCCGGCACAGGGTATTGAACCCCCAGCCCTGTGCCTGCTTTCAGACGCTTTACTCCGCTGAGCTATTTGGCCAGCCCCTCATAGTTGTATTTTTTAATCTTTCTAATGAGATTAGGGACTCCTCTTGGGACAGATTATTGGCATTTTAGTCTTCTCAGGCCTCAGCACATACAGTGGCTGACCAACTGAATGGACATGTCTAATCACAGTTAGCTCTGACTCTAAAATAGGAAAAATCAGGAGGTGTTCTTTCTGTATTTCATCTTATCACTATTACTGTCAATACTTACTAAGGATCTGGAGGTTATACAGAAATATAAAAGATACAGTTTTTGTCTTCAAGAGGTTTATAATCTGGTAGCAAAAGGGGGTAGAGAACAATGGAGGAAGAAACTAAGGTAACAATGCTGTTTTATAAATACTATAACAAATGTTCATACTAGATTACCTCAGGAAGTGTGACCTACTTAGCTAATGTTCATGTGTCAGGATTTTCTCACTTTAAGCAAATCTAATATATAAAATTCTTAATTTACAAAAAACATAAGTTAGGGCTGGGGTTATAGTTCAGTGGCCTAAGTGCCTGCCTGCCAAGTACAAGGCCCTGTGTTCAGTCCCCATACTGATAAAAAAACAAAAGCAAAAACAGATATCAAGTATTTATTTTTTAACATAAAAGACCTTGTCATTTATAAAGAGATATATAATCTTCATTTAAACAGAAAGTACACTTAAAATATAATAATCTTCCTAGCATCTAATTCTCGCATCTGGAGGTTTAGGCAGGGTGACCACAATTTGAGCCCAGTCATGGCAATTTATAGAGAACTTGTCTCAGAAAACAAACTCCCAAAAAACTAAATAAATAAAATAAAATACACTAAGTGCTGTTTGGAATTTAATTTAATCTCACATTGGATGATTTGTTTTTTATACTATTAAAGATAGGCTTATTAAAACTGCCAACTTAAAATGCCAAGCTTAAGTTGGCATTCACATAAAATTATACAGGAAATAACAAGCATGCTATGGAATGGGGACATCTCTGTACGTGAGCCACAACTCAAGGCTAACTACTGTCTTAGACTTAAGAACAAACACAGATTTAAGGCTATACAGGTCTTGGGGAGAGGAGATTTTTTTAAGACTAAATTTTTCAGAATTCATTTGATATGATTCTAAAAATATTTTTCATTACAAAGCTTTACCTGCAGGATTGAGCCTGCTTAGTGATAATGCCCTGAGTGACTCTCTGACCATCTCTGAGAAACAAGTCACACCTCAGAGGCCAGAAGTCCCTTTGGTCACTACGGTATCCCCTGCACATAGCACATACACCTCAACATCAAGCAGGAACTCAGGAAGCATCTTGAATGTACAGTGGTATAAATTTGGAGATACAACAGTTAATAATGCTTACATTCTTTGTAATTTGGACTACAGCTTGCTGTCAGCCCTTCCTACCTTGAAAAGGTCTAGGTCAGGCTTTTAAAATGGTTCCTTAGAAAACCATGACACAGGAGAGGTAATATGGACACAGGAGAGGTGAATGCAGACTCTAAGGTGGATTATTTTATGACCATACATTCCTTTCCTACCTTCTTCTAGATTCAGCTTTGGCCATTGATATGTATCTAGGAATGTGTCTATTTCTGGTTCTTCTTTCCTATAACAGTGAAGATTTTCAAAGTAGTTATTCATGATCATCTGAGTTTCTACAGGATCTGTAGTGCGTTCACCCTTTCCATTCCCTATTGCATAGAGGGTTTTTTTAAAATCTTTTTTAAAATGAGGCTGGCTAGAGGTTTGTTGATTTATTTTGTTTTTTCAAAGAACCAACTCTTCAATTCATGAATTGTTTTTATTGTTTTCTTAGTCTCCATTGCATTAATTTCTTCTCTGATCTTTATAATTCTTCCCTTCTTTTGGCTTTAAGCTTGACTTGCTCTTCCTTTTTTTAAATCCTGAGGTTAACATTAAGTAGTATATTTGTAGTCATTCTGTTTTCATGATGTGACAATTTACTCCTATAAATTTCCCTCAGAGGACTACTTTTATTACATCCCACAAGTTCCAGTAGGTTGTACCTGCAATTTCATTTGATTATAAATATTATTTTCTTGTTTAATTTCATCTGTGCCCCCACTGGTTGTTCAAGAGGATGTTATCAATTTCCATATGTTTATATAGTTTTTGTGATTTCTTTTTGTCAATAATTTCCAGTTTCACCTTTTTCCAGTTTTGGTGGTAGTATAGACTGGTACAATCACTATGGAAATCAGGGTGGAGATTTCTCAAAAAACTAGGATTAAAGGTCCCATTCAACCTGGCTATTTCCCTCCTGAATATTTTCCTAGAAGAACCATAGCAATATATGTGCCCCCATGTTTACAGCAGCATAATTTGTCATAGCTAAATCTGGGAAACAACCCAAATGCCCATCAACTGAGAACTGGATAAAAAAGATGTGGTACATTTATTCAATAGAATATTACTCAGGTGCAAAGACAAATAAACTCCAGGATTTCATAGGTAAATGAATTCAACTAGAGACCATACTCATAAGTGAAATAAATCAGACCCACATTTGGAAACGTCATATTGTCTCGCTAGTGCAAGAAACTCAAAGAGTAAATAAAATCTGAAAGGCACAGTATATATTGTGAAAAGGAAAGAAACTGCTCAAAAGGAACAACTGAGATGGGGGAAGGAGAAAAGAAAAAATATGTATAAAAGATAGCTTAGATAATGGTTCTAATTTCTATTGGCTAATTGAAAGGAATAGTTAATGCTTAATTGTTTGGTCAATTTTACATGCCTATATCTGGTAATCTGAACAACTACTTTGAAAATAACAATATGCAATGTACCAACCGTTTTTTAAAAATTTCTTTTTATTTGGGGGGGGGCAGCTCAGCCCACCAGGGGGCGCGGCTGGCTGGCATGTGGTGCTGGGGGATTGAACAGCGGTCCCTGTGCTTTGCTAAGCTTGTTCTAAGTAGGTGCTTTAGACCACTGAGCCATCTCACCAGCCCCATACCAACTGTTTTTAATTTCCTATCATCTTGTTATTCTTGTTATGAAATCCTGGATTGTTTCTAATGTTTTTTCTTGTTTTTTGTTCTCTTTAAAATAAAAAAAAAACTACTGAAAAAGGTCTCTTCTACAGATCAAATAAATTGACCAAAGCAAACAGAAATAATAAAAATAGTATATGCTCATTAGTCTTTTTCTTAGAATGAATTTTACTACTACTTAGCACTCTCACTATATTTAAGAAAGTTAATATTTCTAAATTAAATATTTAATAATTGGCACAAAATAATTATAAATCCAGCACTATAATTTATTATATTTATTTAATACATGCTTGTTGAATTTGTAGACAATCTGATAGAAAATGCAATAAATCTTGAGCTATAGTCCTTGTCAATCAACATGCTCCTAATCTAGTGGGAAAAAATCCAGGTACATAAAAGTTTATAGTGAATGTTGTTAACATTATGTGCTTTTATGGCACTGTACTAAGTATTCAATAAGCATTTCTTTTTAAAATTGCTACAATAACCTTTTGAAGGTTAGCAGTATATTCTTAGTTTTCGATAAGAAAACTAAGGCTTACATAACTTCCCCAGTATAATAAATGGTAAAACAAAATCTTTCTAAGGTATGATATGGCACCTCTCATATTTTGACATCTAGTAAATACCAAAGCCAGCTTGTTTCCATCAGTTCCTACACTGAGTAGTGTACCTCAGTCATAACTTTTAGGGTATTCTCTTATAAATGATCACAGCAGTTTCTCCTCTTTAGTCCCTTATCTCTACTTTAACATAGACTTTTATGGCCACTAAACCATGAACTCCTGGAATACAGGGTTTAGTTGCTTCTCTTTTTCTCTCTGCTATACTATTATGCAGTCAAGATATATTGATAAAATGAATTTTTAGCTTGTTTTATGCTTCCTTGATTCCCAGTCATCACAGCATGTGACAAGAGATGACAGTCAATCTAGATAAATGGCATTCAATTATGTTATTAGGAAGATGAAGCTTGGGAGAATCAGAGGGATAAAATTCTTAAGTGCATTATAGTGGATATGTTAATAGCTGACATATTTGTCTTCCAGGGATTTCTTCCTAACCTTCCAAATGTCATACTTAGCTGGATTTCATAATACAAATGAAAATAGGAAAACTGAAAAACTAAGAGATACTTTCATTTCTTTCAACCCAGAATTATGGTGATGAGGATCTGGGCTTTAAATTTTAATGGCCAGTATGAATTCAATTATCAAATTCAAAAGATATTTTGAAAAAAGAATCATTTCTCACTACATACAAAATATTCCAACTAACTGTGGAATTTATGTCTGCAGTCTAACTACAGCACACAACTCCTCAAAGCTCCTAAGCTTACATAATGCACATGTACACACACACACACACACACACACACACACACACACACACAATAATTGAAAAATAAAAAGTAGGTAGTATACAGTAATTTATATATGATACAAGAAAGAAAGTATGGGAAAGAAAGATGGTACTCACAGATACAGTGAAAAACTGAATGAATAAT